GCCTGGCGCCCAGCCTGGGCCCGGTGCTGTGGGACGTGGGCGCGCTCGGCCTGCGGCCCGGGCCGCACCTCAAGCTGCTCGGCAGCGGGCTGCTCCTGGCCTCGCGCTACCCGCTGCTGCGGGCCTCCTTCCGCTGTTTCCCCGACTCGAGGCGCGAGGACGCGCTGGCCTCCAAGGGCCTGCTCTCCGCGCAGGTACCCGCCGGCCGGCCGGCTGGGGGCGGGCGCGGGGGCCCCGGAGAGCCGAGCCCATGAGTGCCGTTGCAGGTGCAGCTGGGCGCCCTGGACGGGCGGTGCGTCGTGGGGTTCCTGCACTGCACGCACCTGCAGGCGCCCACCGGTGAGCACCTCGCCCAGGCCCCCGCCGCCCGGCGCTCCCAAGGAGCTCTGGTGGGGTCAGACGCAGACACGAGGGGAGGCAGAGTGTCCAAGGCGAGGGTCCTGAGCTGAGCCTGCCACTCGCCCCCCTCCCACCGCCCTGCACTCCTAGAGGACGGGGCCCTGCGCTGCGCACAGCTCACGCTGCTGCTGGACTGGGCAGAGCAGTTTGAGGCGGAAGGCTGCCAGAGCGGAGAGGTGGTGGCCTTCAGCGTGCTCCTGGGAGACCTAAACTTTGACAACTGCTCCAAAGGTGAGCTGACGCTGGGATGGGACAGAACCGAAAGGCCTGGGCCCACCCACCAGGCACCTGGCTTTTCTCCACAGAGCACAAGCAGGAACAGGAGCACAAGCTCTTCAGTTGCTTTCAGGACCCCTGCCGGCTGGGCACGGGCCAGGAGCAGCCCTGGTCCCTGGGTAGGACGCCCGGGGAGTGGGCCGGGAAGGCTGTAGGCAAAGCACCGGCTGATTTTGCCCTCCCCCACCCCACAGGGACGATCCTGAGCACCTCCATGCTCCACCACTCGGTAGCCAGCTCCCCGGAAATGCTCCGCAGGTGAGTAGCAGCCACTGTGTGTCTCTGCGCACTGAGCGGGATGCCTTGCCTCGATCATACCATCCCTCCCCCCAGGGCCCTGGAGCAGGAGAAAGAGCGCCACATCTACATGGCAGGCTCTCCCCAGGGTAGCCGGAGAGCTAAACCCTGGAGGGGCCGACGCTTGGACTACATCATGTACCGGGGAGTGCCGGGGGGCCTACTGAACCCAGTAAGTGCCAGAGCTCAGGGCAGTGGGCCTGCTGGCCCGGAGACCACACCTCAGCCTGACTCCCACCACCAGGAGGTGGAGCAGGTGACCTTCAGCACCGCTTTGGCTGGGCTCACAGACCACCTGCCCGTGGGCCTGCAGCTCCGCGTTTCCCAGGGTTCCGACACTGGCACGTAAGGTGCACCACCGGGGTGGTCAGCGACACGGACCAGGACGTACGCAGTGTTGGGTCTGGCCTCTGCCCCAGAAGCCGGCGATTTAATTTATGGCAAAGTCCCTCACACGGCCTCCTGGGCACGACGGTACTCATAAACGCTGCCCCGCTCAGGGAAGGCCGGGGGCTGCGGAGGAGAACCGGGAGGGGGGCCGGGGTCCTCTGGGTCACCGTAGCCCCCGCCGCCGGGCGTGTGAAGGCAGAATACGTCCTGTGGAAGGAGGCGCGGGCTCAGCGCGGGGCCGCCGGGTCCAGAGAGCCGGCGCTGACTAAACCCTGCCTCCCACTACTCGTGCATCTCGGTCCCTGCTTGAGGGCAGGGGTGGGGTGAAGGCCAAGACCGCATCGCTCACCCCCGGGTACACGGACACGGACGTCTTCCCGCCCAGGTTCACCGTGCGGCCATCCTTGCGGATCAGCAGGTTTAAACCGCGGGCGCCAGGCTCGCCCCCTGCGGGGAAGGCAGGGCCGGGGTGGAGGCGGGGCCGGG